ATCGCTGTTTGTTTATTTGTTTGATCCTTTTTTGCAAACCTGTTTGTAATATTGAGTGTTTATAATGGACAGACTGTTGTACACCAAAATCACTGCACCACAAATACAAAATAATGACGTGGCCATTGATTTGTGTTTCTCTTTGTGTGCTTTCACAGATTTCATTTAAGACTCCATCGTTTTGAAAAGAAGTTCTCAAAAAATGTCTGAAGGTCAGAAACACTGTGTGCATTTAAGAGTTACAATAATAAGTGTTTTCTGTTCTGGAACACTTACCGTTCAGTTGAATTAAATTGAGCTTTTACAACCAGAGCATCTCAATTTAAATTTGTTATTTTTCCATTTAATTTTGTTTAGCCATCACATTTTTAATCATCCATCCATCCATCCATCCATACCTAAGTATGACAGAACTTACAAGTTTACAAACAGATATGCAGATAAAACAGTATTCTGTTCACATGAGCTGTCCATGGTGCTGATTTTGGTCAATTTTTCTATGAGAATGATGTGCCTTTCTGTTTCTTTTTATTTGCTGTTGTTCTTATTTGTTAGTAGTAATTGAGAATTAGAGTTTGTAGAAATGTTTTTACTAGTTGTAACACCCCAGTACAACAACACAATATGTGCCTCAGAGACCAAGAACTAGGCACATTCTAATGAGAGAGAAAGGCATTCAGAGTAGTTTCAGACAGAGACATTCAAAGAATGAAAAAAGATCCTGATATTGTTTCTAAAAAGTTCACCTTCAGGATAATTAATGGTTGTTTGCAACCTTCTTGCGCCGAGACTTTTGGATGCGCACGGCAGCGCTCATTTGCTGGAATAAATAAATTCTTGACATATCATTTGGAAAAATGGACCTAGTACCTGGCAGTGGGTGTTAATGCATGTTTGATCTATTCAAATGCCAGGTCTTATTTACTCTCTCCAGGAAACCTTGAGAACTTGAAATGACAGTCTCTCTTCATCTAAATCATGACTTCACGTCATCGTTTGAAGAAGAGACAAAGAGGAACTATGCGTTCTCTCTCAAACAGCTGCTCGAGTGCTGAATGGTCATTGACTGGAGCATATGTGACAACGATCTCCGCTCTGCTCACACACCCCACCGACTCGCCTCGTTCATGGATGAACCGCTGTACTGGTGCGGTTAGTGTCCTAACAAGAGCTGACAGGCTTCCTGTTAAACAGACTCCACAAAACTCAAGTGCGGTTGGAATTGCTTAATCTTGGTTGTCTGTTGCTTACCCCCCATTACTAATTACTAATTTGTCATTTAGCAGTTGCTTTTATCCTGTGTGACTTGTAGTAGGCTTAAGCTCACTATTCATTCCCATTCCCTGTCTACCTGAAATCAAATAATGGCCATCAATGACACTTATCTGTGAATTAGAATCTCATCACAGTGTACAACGGGTATTGGTTTGAAGCTTACTTAAACCGTGTTTCAATACTTAAAGGGATAGTTCACCCAAAAATGAAAATTAATTACTCACGTTAATTACTCAGTCGTTAATTACTCACCCTCATGTTGTTCCAAATCCTTCATTCATCTTTGGAACACAAATTAAGATATTATTGATGAAATTCAACTGGCATGTTCAAGGCCCAGAAAGGTAGTAAGGACATTGTTAAAATTGTCCATGTGACATTAGTGGTTCCCTAGATGAACAAGGTCTTACGGGTTTGGAACAACATGAGGGTGAGTAATTAATGACATAATTTCATTTTTGGGTGAACTATCCCTTTAAAGATGTATTTTTACATATCTGAAACTAGAAAATGTGGTGTTATTTTACAGATTGCATGATGAGATGGTAAAAATAATGAGCTTAATTGAACAAATGTTGTCAAGCATATAAATAACATAATCAGTGGTTCAGACAATGAATTCATTGGGGTTTTGTGTTGTCACATTGTTGCAGAAGGTTATATTAAGCAATCTGATGTTTTTGTTGTTGTGTTCTTTGTAATCTGCAGTAATCTGTGTTCCACTGTTTTCATTTTCTGTTCCCTCTGGCCGCATGTGATGTCTTTGCCCCTAATAGGACTCTAAAGGTTAAAATTTAGCCACTGTCTGACCTGAATTCAATTGTAACCAGCATCCTGTGACTGTTTATTGTATTGTTTAAGAGTCTTGTGTGTTTGTGTAGTGGTAATATGGACTGTAATGTTTTCATCCGCTCATAATGGTAGTCCACTAATGAGGCTACAGCTGAAGGGGAGCTTGGGGGCACTAAACATGTCTGCTTCCCTTTGATTGGCTTTAATTATGTACATGTCACAGCTCGTGAGATCTCTGACAAGTGGTAGGACAGCAGCTTAACACCCCTCATCTCCACCATATTCTCTGTTTCTTTTCATCCTCGCGGCTTGTTTTCTCACGTCCTTTATATTGAATCTTGAGGCGTTGATCTAGACTTCTAAGGCCAGTCTAGTTGATTTTATGCTGTTGTTGTCTTTTTGATGCTCTCCGATTGTCATGACTTAATCTTCTTAATGATTCTTATGTCCTTCAGGTTGATTTTGAACTGCTTGAAGGAGAGTATGCCTGGTTTCACATACATCAGAGAGGGTGAAGAAACAAATGTGGCTGCTGAGTGGTCTGAAATTGTTGTTTTATCATTTATTAATCTAGCGTCAGTTGTGTGAAGCACTGCTCTCACAGAATTCACTTAACATAACAAGCAGCTTCTGTTCGTCAACATGGTGTGGACAACTGGTTGCAAAATCTGTGTAGGGAAACCTAGTGAAATTGAAACTAATTCATAAAAATCCTATTTTTGGTGTATTGTTGACTGGTCTCTGCTCTTTGCCCTTTTCTCCATCCCCTCTTCGAAGTCCCTGCAGCGGCATGGGTCTAGTATTCACCAAATAAGTTGTGACATGAGCTGTTCTTGTTATGTTAACACCCAGAGTCCAACTGGAGTATCTAGCCTGCAGAGCCCAAACTCAGATTAGCACACTAATCTAACCTACAGGCTTAAGGATGGAGGGTCACTTTAACTATCAGCAGTGCCGATTCAGATTCAGTACTCAGCACATGCTTCAGCTAAGGGTAGCTCTTCATTATCATTAGTTCAGATAACAACCACATATCCACCTACTCAAGCATTAACTGCTGATTAGATTAAAATGGGAGGGAGTGATTTTCTACGTAGGGTTGAAAAGCTGTTAAAGGAATGTTCTAGATACAATAAGTTCAGCACAATCGATCACATTTGTTGCATTTTGTATTTCATCACTGATGTAAATCCCATGTGCGTTTCTGATACATCAACAGAAGTCGTCACCCACTCGGTGTCAGGTAAAGATGTAGCATCTCTTGTTTTTATCATCAGATATTACAAATGTGTGCAGACAACTAAAAGGAAATGAGCTGATGTCCTGCGGATTCAAGACAGCAATCTGATGGGACTACCTGCTCAGCTCCATGTAAATAAGGAAGCTACCTCTCCTCTCAGCATGCTTACGAGGATATCATACAAAGGTTACCGCCACTACTCCATTATTACAATGTAGTTGAAAGACTGGATATATGGTTAGTAAGTGATTCTATCACATTAGTTCCATGTTTATGACATGTATTTGCCATGTTTACATCCGTTAGGCTATAAAAAAGTGGGATGAATTGAAATGATTATATTATTATATTATGCTAAAAACTTAGCTCATTTAGTTCCCATTCCTTTACTTCCATTCATCCTATTTGCATTTTTATATGATGGATTCAGCACATTGAAGATTAAAGGGTGAAAACGTTCTACTAGACTGGATCTACTGCATTAAGATTTGTTGTGTTAATCATCAGTGTGTTCCATTTAGCTAATGTGGTATTTCAAGTGAAGCAAAATTATCTATTAAGATTTCAATTAAAATTATTTAAAAAAAATATTTTTGTTTACCTGAGGAAAAACTGGAATGAAAAGTAAATAAACATTTGCAGAAACACATGTCAATGACCTTATAATACATTCACTGCATACAAAAGCACGAAGCGCACCAAGTACATTCTGCTCATTTTATTAAGCAGAACAATTCTCTAATCTGTGGAGTTCTCAGAACGCCTCGCGACAGGCACTTCTTCCGATTGACCAGAGGAGCGCTGTGGCGCTGTCCACAGCCAAATGATCCGAGCTGACGACCTGATAGCCTTCACCAAACAATTAAGAGATATTTCTGTTAGTGTCGTTTCAAGAAATATCCTTTAATTGTAAGGTGAAGGTTATCATTCTCCATCCTATATAGAGAAAAATGTCAGAAAAGTATGCAGGAACATTTCTGCAAGAAACGTTGCCTTGAGTCCCATTTACGCGTTTTTTTCAATACCTAACGGAGATAAAGAATTCGTTCCATGAGCTGCCAGAATCGTTCAAACGACTCACCTTATCTTTATAATGTTTACCTATTGTAAAAATGCGTATACCTACGCCACATTATAGATTCGACGCTAGTCAGTCATTCACTATTCACAGCCATTCAGTCTCAATCACCCACTTGTTTTCCTTCGTTCCGTGGTTGCTACAGACTCCGTTTCTTTTCTTTTTCAGGGTGCTAGCGGGGTCTATAGATAGTACCGGGCAAAATATCCAGCGATAAACGGAGCGCCCGCGGTCGCTCTTCTCACTTCTGGAGTCGCTGTCAGCGCGGCGAACTTCTGTGGAGAATCTGAACCGTCCGTATCAGCAACTTTTCTTCCCTCCAGCAGCCCTGAGTTTAAAACCAGCTAGGGTTTGTGCCTCTCATTTGAAAAACATAGTTTAGTACTGAATGTTTGAGGAGATTGTCCCGAACTTCATGCGCTCAGGGCTGCGCTAGACCTCCGCCACTCCGCTGTGGCGACTCTCTCCGGCGAGAGCAGACTTCATTTCTCCTTGGTTTTACCGTACCGTTCCGATCTTTCGATTCTTCGGTCACGTGGTGGGGCGAAACGCGAAAGACTGCGAGCTTTGAGAGAAAGTGAGTGAGGAAGAGAGAGAGAGACAAACCACACTGAGAGCTGGAGCGCGCGGACCCGTTGCTTTGCCTCTGACCGTGGTACTCCCGTCGTTTCCCTTGCTCTCCTACCCCTCCTTTTCTGCTTTCCTTCCCTTGAGAGCTTCTTTTTCTCCCCGCGAATATCCTTTCTCACTTTCAATTTGAATAGATCTCGGAGAAAGATAGAAGTGACGCATCCTTGATCTCCTCCACAGCGGTCGTTCTCGCGCACGCTCTTTTTCTCTCTGGAACTGGATTTTTGAAACGACGTGGTCGCGTGGATGATACACCGGGGCGAGAACTGGAGATGGAGTTGCTCGTGATCAGCCTCTCCTTATGGATTCTGCAGTGCCGCTCAGCTCGCGCGGACTCCATTATCCACATCGGTAAGCACGGTCTCGGACAGACGCCGCTGAATCACGGATGGCTTCCTTCAGTGCATCGTATTTTAAAGTCGGAAGCGTGCAGATTGGACTTGATAGAAGGCGTATTCGCTCCCCTGAACTGTTTGACATTTGATAACGGCTTTAACTTACCAGGAAACAGCAAACAGGTCCACAAAGTGCATTTCAGGTGGCGCTGAACGCGTAGGCTTCACGAATGAATTTAGATACACGTATAAGCAAATTGAGACGGCTATCCTCGGTCTGTTTCAGGGTTAACTCCAGTCCACCCCTCCCCAGCCTTAAACCTGAACTTTCTGTTGAACGTGACGGAAATTGTAATTTCGTTCATTGAGGTACTGAGCGCGCGACAAGTCTCTTCCCGTGCCCGCTTGGCGTTTCTTAACAGAACTTCTACTTGTTCTGATGCCTTCTTAGTTTAGATTGTATAACATTTATCTCAGACGCTTTTGTTTTATCAGTCGTTTGTGTTAGTGAGCTTGGCAGCCTTGTGTCAGTATGCAGCATTCAGCCCTCTTTAGTTACTTATGATGGGAACGAAATTGATTTGCTTTCTGACTCCAGTTTAGGCGCAAAACACCCCTAAATATGTTACTTTCAGAAATGTGATCGTATTAGGCTAAATAACACTGGTTCATGCCGTATTCTGATGCGTAAAGCGTTGTAAATATAGTGCTCTTCTGTTGGCAGGGAACCTCTCTTTTGTATGCAGTGGATGTTCTGCATCATCCGGTGCGCTTGACTGTTCTTCTCATCACCAGGATCACTCAAAATTGGATTTGAAGCTTAGTTTTAAAGAAGGATGATGTTAAGTCCCAAAGTTGAAGCATAGACTCTACTGTAAGACAAATTCGCACTTCAAGAGAATGAACCTTTACTGCAGTTATCTCATGCTCTGACTTCTTGTTAGTTACCAGTTAGTCTATGTATATAATTCTTCTTAGGCTTTTATTGCTACACTACTTAATTAGGTCTAAATGGTTTGATTTAATGGTTTATCCTTGGTATAGATTATAACTTTTCCCTGGGTATAGGTGGTTTTAGGTTGTGTTCTGTATAGTCACATGAGGTGAACCAATTTTTGTTGTCTACATGTTATTCAAAAATACATTACATTTAAAAGTATTAAAAAATATTTGAAAAACATTTATCTGCCAAACAAAGTCAGCATGGTTTAACCAAAATAAAGAAAGCCATTTTTGTTGTCATGTGACAAGAAAACCATAAAACATAGAGGACACTTACGATTTAATTTTGAATTTATGAAAAGACTCATGACAAGTGGAGTGAATTAAAGAAATCATCTTGATATTAATGACTTAAAATGTTGGGATATTTGTTTAAAAAATACCTTGCATGGACATATTTAAAGTGCAAGGAAAGTATTTTAGCATTCCTTCTTCTTCTTTAGTTTTGTAGAAAACGGTGTAAACGTTTTTTTTTCATACAGTAAATTTATGAATCCAGCACAAATACAAAGATTGTATGCTGTATAAGAAATGTACACACGTTTTAGACTAGATTTTGAAAGGATTTCTCCTTTTTATAACCTTAAACATCCTTATTTGTCTTTGACCTGCATGTGTTGGCGAAGTGATTAAAATGAGCGCACTTTTGTTGCCTCAGTACACGGCATGAGGCCTCAGCAGCTGTTTGTTGATGGCTAGCCGTGTATGTAAATAAATAAAGCCCTATATGCTTCTCCTACACCTTTGGCACTTCAAGCCGGCTGCTCTGTACATTTGATCACTGTCGCCTTGATCTCAATATGTCATATCATCAGTGGGTCACTGTTTATAGTCCTGCACAAATCAGCCATATTGATTGCGTCCAGACACGTTCTGATTTAATACTGGGCTGTATTTCCAAGTGTCAAGGACTTGTTAGTGAAAGACGCTCTCGTGTCATTTCTGGTCTCTCTCTTTTCATATCAGTGCAACTTTGGCAGCATCTTGCAATTCGAAAGATTTGGATTGCAAATGAATAGTTTTTAAATTAATATTGTAATATTGCATCAGTGGATGTCTTGTTGCTAAGCCGGTTGTTTTCATTTGTGGAAGCTTTAAGCTAATCTACCAGTAAGATATTAAAAAACTTTTCTCAAATCAATACTTTATATTCAGTTGTTTATTTATTTTGTAAGTAGCTGTGCAATAAGAGCATAATCCCTTACTTCATTAATTTTTTTCCATTTCATTCATCTGTCTTGGATATTTTGTATGACCTGTCCATTTGTTATGCCTTTCAAGGACACAGCAAACTCCAGCAACATATAAAAGCAGCTCATATTTATAACTGATGCACCTTGTCATGTATAAGATCCCCTTGACATAAAAGATCTTCCTGTAGGCTTACAACCCACTGTGTTTCCACAGATTGCAAAACGCCCTTGACAAATTAGGGATGCGTATAGAATATTTACAGCACTTCCAGCGCTTGCGCTCTCCATGGTGCTGAACTCGCTCCTGAAATGCCGTTGGCTATTGACAGGTGAGGAAGTTGCTGTAAATTGTATCTGATGGTTATATGCTGCGTTCTCGGTAACCTCAATGGGTATAATATAGTTTCAACAGTTTGACCCACATGATGAATCTGCGTTCCCTTCATTTTTACCCCTTAAATGGATATGAAAGTTTGGAATGACTTGAATGATGTGTTAATAACGAACATTCTGTTTCATCCAACAGGAGCTATTTTTGAACAGAACGCCATACGGGATGACGAGGTTTTTCAGCTTGCCATTTCAGACCTGAGTTTGAACGACGACATCCTCCAGAGTGAGAGGATTACCCATTCTATCAAACTTATCGAGCCCAACAACCCCTTCCAGGCTGTACAGGAAGGTGAGTGAGTGACTGGTATCTCTCAGCAATCGATTAACCATGCCGTTCTACTTTATCTTTATGTCCGATCCGTTTGCTCGAGCAGTTACCCGATATCTCCAGACCTTCTTGTGAGGCTCTAACGTCAGCAAGTAGAATAGCTGCAGGTGTGGGATTTCCATAAGTGTTGGTTTCCTCCTCTCAGTCTTTATTTCTATTTGAAATCTTCTTTTCCTATCAAACAAAATAATGTGTTGTCTGTGTGTTCTGATGATGAAACTAAGTAGCTAAATTAGGCACCTCTTGGAATCAGAATCCAGTGCAAGAATAGCCATGTGGAAATGTGCTGAGGACATATGTGGTAACATGCTGAGTGTGTTTGTGTCGCACAGGCAAGCTGGATCATCAGTGCCGCTCACAGACATTGATGTATGAATGTAGCACAACTTGATTTATGTTATCAAGCATGAAGGCCAGCTGTCATCATCTGTCCAGTTCAGACATTTTCATTGCTTTCCTCATATGAGCAAATCCTCAGTTTGATCGTGGCTACCTGATATAAGCCGTTATTATCACGACTAACTTCTCTCATATTCAGGGACGTGCACACAGACATTTTGAGGGGCAGGGGCTCAAGTGGAAAAAAGGGCACTTCTCATATTTATTAAATTTTTTATTAAACAAAACGTTAAATATATTAGGGGTGTGTGATATTGACAAAAAAATATCTCAATATTTTTTGGGATTTTATCGATAACGATAATTAGACGATATTTTGCTGAGTGTGTTATTGTGCTGATATCTTAAGGACTACCGTGGACACCTAAAACTCAAAAACTGGCTCCTAACGTTTTGGTAACACTTTAGATCTGCTTTTTGGTGCAAAAAACGTCAGTCTTCGCGTGATACTGATTAACTATATGCAATGATATAAATAAATATATACATTTCTGCCCCCATATCTTGAATTTTGTGATCATTCTAATTGCATTTTAATAAACTGGATCATGCAGTGAAAGAACGTGCACTTGTCTAACCTACTAGACTTCCTATTGCCTTAGCTAAATTTTAGCTAACTTACTTGGTAGCTCTCTCATGAGTCATGGATGTTAACAAGACAAATTAACTATATTTGCCTTTTGTCTTTTGGATAATTAGCTGTAAATTGGAGGCACAGGTAGCTTAGTCTTTTGTTCATCACACACACCAAGACAAACACAACTGGAAAGGGAGGGGGGCTTCACTTCTGTGGCTCTCTGTCTGTGACTGTGATGTGATGTGATGTGATGATCAATGTGTGCTACACAGTCTATGGTGCTACACTGCTGTGCTGCGCGGGGACGCGGAGGGGAGAAAAGCATTGGAACTCGATGGAGTCTCAACCTTTTTCTGGACCCGACCTGATATTTAGATTTTTTATTTGTTTGACAGGGAAAGCTGTGCGCAAACAGAAACACGCACACATATATACACCCTTTGATGTCTATGTGTGCACGTGCCTGCTCATATTGCAGAAAGGGTCCAGGGGCCAGCTTCATGAAAATTTTAATACAAAGTTGTTACGTTTCATAATAATTAAGTTCGTTATGTGCAGTTACTTCTCAAATATCTTAAGAAGTTCTTGTCAGTTCTCAAAGATGGAAAATAAATTAAACATTAAAAACGAGGTCCCTATTTAAGTTGAAGTTAACTTCAAATAACTTATAAGTTATTCAAACATTTAAGTAAGTTATTTACAGTGATTTTAGGAACATTAATTTTAGGAATTCAAATGATTTATTAGTTTTATTTTTAGAACTATGTTAAGAAAAAAGCTAAGAACATTCTTAAAGTCCCACTGCAGTCACTAATTTTATCCCTTAAAACTCCTCTTTGATGATCAAAATTACATATTTAAATATTTTTTCCCTGTAAAAATAATTTCTTCATGCCTTAAACCAGCTTCCCTCATTTAGTAAACGTGGATATAATATTTACATTAATATGCAAATAAGTCCCTACCTCCACTCAATCACAGCCATATACCCTGTATGTCTGAACCAGAAAATGATTCCCAAGAAGAACACGAAGAGCGAATTATACAGGGTCGTCTCTTCAACATCAGACACGTAGAATAATTGATATCATTAGCCTTTGGCTTGATACGTTATAAAGCAGCTAATAACGTGTTGCTAATGTCACACAAATCATGTTCCCGTTCGCCATCTCAGGCAGCTATCTTCTAAAAATCAACATCCTTAGGTAATAACGCTTTGCTAATGATATGAAAAGCCCCTCTCTGCAAGTTGACTGGATTGGTTACATGTTTGTGATGGTAGGAAACGGGCTGTATCAAACCGAATTTATAAACTATAAAGTTTTTTTTAGCTGAATTAAAAAAAAAAGCTCAGCAGTGGTGTTGACTGATGAATTTGCACTTGTTTAATTTTTAAGCATATTAAAACCACCAGAAAGACATGTAAACAACATTAAAAACTTGATTTTCACCACAGGAGGTCTTTAAGAAATGTTTTTTGGGAATACATTTTTTAAAGATAAAAAATAATAAGTAAATGGTTGACAAGAAGAATTTTATTCTTAAAAATGTTTGGTGAATCCTTCCCCAGAGTGTTTAGAAATGACAGAAGGAAAGATTGCCCATCCTGAGGACATAGAGTATTGCGCTTCTGTCTGGTATCCAGGGGTTCTGGGATTGATTAGCTTCCCTGGTTTTGAGTGACAGGTGAGTGGTGATGACCTTTCACTTTGCTCTTTAGCTCACATTCACCCTACTGAGAAGAAACTCACCTGTCAAATACACACACACACACACACACAGAAAAAAAACAATCTCCTTTATCAGCAAAACACATATGCTTTTGGCAAAGCATAGTTCTATCCTTTTGCCTACCAGTCAATAAAATGACTTAAGATCCTGTATGTGGACAGATGACACGCAGCAGGAGTTTGTGGCTCGAGTGTGTATTGTAAGGACCCAACTGTGTGTTTATCTCACCTGCATTTTTTTTGCCAGTATGGGCATTACATCTAATTACTCATTACAGCTATGTGACCCACACACACACACACACACAGGTTTGTTTTTGTGAATTGTGGGGACATTCCATAGGCGTAATGGTTTTTATACTGTACAAACTGTATGTGCTATTGCCCTACACCAACCTGACCCTAGCCCTTACAGGACACTTTGTGCATTTTTACTTTCTCAAAAAAAAAAACCTCACTCTGTATGATTCATAAGCGTTTTGAAAAATGGGGACATGGGGTAATGACGCTCACGCACGCACACACATACACACACACACACACACACCAAATCATTCACCCGCACAGACACCTTCCATAGTAGGTAAGTGTGCTAGTGCAGAGATGTGTGTGTGTGTTTTTATGAACAGTGCTACTGCATGACAATGAACCAGTGCAGTTGTTTTTGGTGAGAGACAATAATGCAAGATAGCAGATTCCTGTTGTGACAAGTCAATCTAATGTTCAAGAGGCAAATGTGGCCTTGTTGTGTCCTGCTGTGCTTTTTGGGGAAAAAGTGCTGATGTCGAGAAATAGAGTCACCTGAAGGGGAAATCGCTTGAGAAGTGTCACGTCCTGTGTGAAAACAACTTTTATCGAGTCCTCTGAATGGCTCTTTTTGTTCCTTTTCATCTCTTCTCACCCCTTCAGCTTTTTTTCTCGCCTGCTAAGCCTTTCTAAACCCCTTCCAAATCTGTTTGGCTTCTAGGCTGCAGGAAATAGGAATGGTCATCCTGGATGCTGTCAGATCTTTCTTTGTTCGAAAGGTTTGACTCTCCTCTCTTGTAAAGATGACGGATTTTCTTCTTAATTCTTACTCTGTCTCCTCCTCTTTCATCTTGTCTGTGGTGCTTTCTTTTTTATAAGTCAATAAGGACACTCTTCATCCTCTAAAAGGGCTTAGACTGCTTATCAAAATACCTGTTATTTCAAAACATTGCTTATTGGTGGAGAGCTCTTCTAAATTGAACAGGTCCGAAAAATGCATACTCCTAAAAGCATCTTTATGAGGTTGATGATGATTATGTCATATTGGGATTGTGAAGGTAAATAATGTAACAATTGATACAAGACTGCTAAATATCACAGATCAAATTTTGTCACATTTCTTCATTCTGGTAAAATACAGGATTATCAAAGTGGGCTTTTAGTACAGTCTCTGGCAAAATTGCACTCACTTCTCATGACAGTTGCTTAGAGCAGCTTTGTACAAGTCTGTAATTCTAAGCTTTTAGACATTTTTTTTTCAGCTTCAAACACATTTTTAAGGTTTCTTCAGAAAAAGACCAGGGCGTTTTTTCATAAATGACTGGCTGCTTGACTGTGCATCTGAGAGAGTCTGTGGAAAAATGTGTGTGAATATAACTTACATTTATTTGGCATATTTTAGTCATTTTTATCAATGGTAATTTAATCAAATTTTGCTATTTTTTTGTCAAGACATACTCATAGACAATTTGTGAAAAACAAACCTGTGAAGGTCTTTTTTGCACCTCAGAGTAAAAGTAAAAAAGGCATTAAAGTTTAGAATGAAAAACACATTGTGTGTATTTATTGGCACAGTTATGTTAAAGTTTCAATTGTGAGATATGAATTTGCACTTGATCAGATATAAATTTGTGAAATTTTTCTCAATTTTGAGAAATAAATTTGCTACTGTGAGGAATAAAGTCACAATTTTGAGAAATAAATTTGCAGTTGTGAGGGAAAAAGCTGCAATTTGAAAGGACAGTCACAATTGTTAGATATACATTAAGTCCTGTGCAATTTTGAGGAATAAAGTCGTAATTTAAAAAATAATAACTATTGTTAGGTATTCAGTAAAGTCGCAAATCCAAGGAATAAATTTGCAATTTCAAAAAACAAAAAAAACAAAAAAAAATCCCAGTTTTTAGATATGCAGCAAAGTTGCAATTTCCAGAAACCAGGCGAAAACGAAGTTTCATAAAAACCTGTCTTCACGCACACATTATTTCTTTCATATTCACACAGATAAA